TCCCACAAGAATGTCCAACAAGAGTGTCCTACAAGAGTGTCCCACAAGAGTGTCCTACAAGAGAGATCCGCAAGGGTGTCGCACAAGAGTGTCCCACGAGAGTGTCCCACAAGAGTGACATACAAGTGTGTCCCACAAGGGTGTCCTACGAGGGTGTCCCACGAGAGTGTTCCACAAGTGTGTTCGACAAGAGTCTCCTACAAGAGTGTCCTACAAGAGAGTCAAGAGTGTTCCGCAAGAGTGTTCCATAAGATTGCCCAAGAGTGTCCCACAAGAGTGACATACAAGAGTGTCGCACAACAGTGTCCTACAAGAGTGTCCCACAAGAGTGTCCCGCAAGAGTGTCCCACAATAGTGCACAAGAGTGTCCCACAAAGATTTCCGAAAAGATTGCGTTGTATACAAGAGTGTCCCACAAAAGTGTCTTCTACAAGAGTTACAAGAGTGTCAAAAATTGTTTGGGTGTTTGTTTTTGAGTACGTGTTTGCATTCGGGTTCGTGGGCTCCATCTGGTTTTCATCAGCCTGAACACCTCCCTGAATAAAAACAGGCAGCCTTGAGCCAACACGTTGGCAAAATCCATCACAGAGCATCCAAACCAGGTCGGTGTTTCGATTCCCAAGGTGTTTTGGTTCGCCTTTCCAAATGAGCCGCCAAAATATCCATAGCCTTTTTATCAAGTTTCCAGGGTAGCGGTTTCAAGCAAGATTCCTTTGCAAAAGTTCGCCACACCATCACAAAGGGCACTATTACTTTGCAAGCAGAGTCGAGCGAAAGTGATGTTGGGCAGAATCGAGCCCCTGATTTCCTCGCCAGAACACGTCCGCCGCTTTCAGGGGAGTCAACGCTCTAAAATGACCCAATTGGCTCATCTATGGCAACGCTCAAATGGAAAAGCACCACGCTTTGGGAGTCACCAGCGAGCAGGCACCTGTTCTTATGGCAAGGATTCTGTGATCGTGTTGGATTGTACCAACAGTCCAACCACTTGAGGTGGGTCTAGCTTTCCTTCAAAAAAGAAAGGCCCCATCAGACCATCGGCTGGATTCTGATGCGTTCTAGCTGCCCACTTTAATCGCTGAAGGTGCACCCAGTGACCTCTAGCCACCTTTGCCAAGACAACAACATCTAGCCACCTCTCCTACTTAAAAGACAAAACTGACACCTCCACCACGGGGAGTGTTTTGACATGTTTTGACCATAAGACTGCAGCCTCCCTCCATGGCTGTCCGCAAGTGTTCCTTGCAATTGGTGGATCCTCCTGCTCGGCATGTGCCTCAGACGTTTTTTGGCGTATCCACTCGACGTATGAGTTTTTACATACTTCGTGTTCCGGCCCAGGATCTGTGCCTTCGCGAACAACCAATACGCCATTGAGCATGCTTTGGGTGACTTCAGGCAAGACTTGTTGGACTTCAAGCTGTTTCGGTATATCCACGTCTTTCAGAAAATCTTATGTCATTGTCATAGTAGTGAGATGAGAGAAAGCTCGGGTCTCTCAGATCTCTCAGTTTGTCCATGTCTCAGGTGTTCTCTTCGTTCGGACCTCGCGTTCGGGGCATCTCTCTTCTTTGTGTGTTCCGCCGTTCTCCGCCGGGCGCCACACGGAACCGTCTCCGCCGCAGTCTGGGGCAATCGCCCCGCAGCGCGGTGATGACCTCGGCCTTCGCCACAGCACTGGTGGGGCGCCCAAGGGTTGGAACCAGAGGCTTTTTTGCGCACATACAATGCATGTGACTGATTACTGTGTGCATGTGCTTGTGCATATGTGCATGCAACCTATGTAGGATACATTGAGTGTAAGCTCCTTTCAAAAGAGTTTTGATCTGTGATGTTGACATGTTCACACTTGCAAGTCTGCACACAGACAAGTGAGCGGGGACAAACAAAGCTCTGCTTTTGAGCATGAATTCCCAACAAACACAGGGACACTCCTCTAGGTCCTAGGTTCAATGCCCAATCATGCCCAGTCAATTCTCTTGTTTTGGTTTGAAGAAAATTCTTGGGCATGCGAATGTTTGACAGAATTGCTTTGCACCCTGCGACAGCCACTGGAACCTGGCCGGACAACGAAACGATTGCCCCCACCAGCATAAGGCCTCAGTGGATGATGTCGTTGCTCTTTTGGACGATCAGGCCAAGATCTACACAAGGACTGCTTTAGATTTGATTAACTGAAGACTCACAGAGCCAGAAAGAGCAATAGGATTTGACCAGTCTAGTTCCTTTTGTAAAAAGCGGGGCCATGGATCGGGTCACCGGACGACTCGAAGGTATAGATTGGCAACTTAAGGTTACAGTTGGTTTGCATTGTCTTTGAGCGGGGCGTTCGTGATATTTATCGGACAAGCATTGATAAGCTTCTACCGGTGGTTTATGACAGACCCTCATGGTCCGACATGCAGACCAGATTTCTTCATCCACCAAGTGCTGAAAGAAATGATTTGCTGGGCAAAGGGACTTTCTCTGTTCTGTTTGTTTTTCCACATGGGTATCGAACCGTATCGAACCATAGATCTCTCCTGGTGTGCGCTAAATCTGAGAGCTGCAGATGTCTTTTCCAACGTGACGAGTTCGGAGGATTTGGTGCTGCTTTGAGCTCTTCTCTGTGATGCGTCTTGTACCGCAACGTCTCTTGGCGTACAACTAACAATGGGGGCATACGGCAACGCCCAAAGAGGACCACAGTCATATGAAACGGAGACAATTTTGGGTCAGCCTGTGCAAATGGACAAAAGACAGGACGGACACACGAGAGGGTGTACATAGTTGTCCCTTCTAAGGTCATGGCAAGCAGCTTGAAATTTTCATCGTGGATGAATCTGGGGTGCAGCACTCAGCACTCATGCTTTGTTTGAGTGGAGGTTGAGAAGAGTATGGAGTAGAACAGCGATGAGCAGCGCTTTCTCGCGAATATCTATAATAAATATAGATTATAATAGTATAGTGTTTTTAATAGTTATTTATCATTGTACTATATATAATGTTATACAAACGGTATTTATAAAAATGTTTATAAATATACACGGTATATACTGTATACTGTATAAATATACCCTGTTTAATTGTATACAGTATATAAATATATAATATGTTGTGAATACTGGGAGAAGCGCCGGCGCCGCATGTCGTTCTGATGCTCAGGTGGTGAGCTCTGGCTGTGGCAACGTGAGAGCAATGGACAAGCTGATTGGGAAGGCCGCGGAGCTCTGAAGTCTGTGGATGTTGGCTCTTTGTCGAAACTGATGCAACCGAAACAAGTTGTGGTCCTTCTCCGATTGGGCTCCGAAGGACATGGGGTCGTTCCACTGACTCATTCATTCTGTCATTGTTTCCTTGTTGATTCTGTGTTATTGTCCATATTCGGCTTCACCGTTCGTGGATCTGAATGCATCCGAACTGAATGGCCGTATGCGTATCTTCGCTAGCACGTGACTTCACCCGGGCGATGACCATCCGTGGGCAGAAGTTCCCTGAGAGGTGAAGACGCGTGAGGCCGAAGCCTCCAATGCAGCCGATAAGGCGCCTCCGTTTCGCTAACCGAGTTTGTCTCGGCAGACCTTGCCAAGACATCCGTGCGTTGTGAGGTGTCGTTTTTTTTGCTTCTCATGACGAGTTGAAGAAAGGCAGATGTTGATCCTCAAACGAGCTGCTTTGGTTGGCATGGGGATCCTGAAAGCTTTGGGGATGGGGATCCCCTGACCCGCACCGCGCATAGGACATGATCGAGTCGGCCATGCTGGCAGATGGTACGACACATGAGGTGGGGAGTCATTTGCCGCCATTGTGACCTTCATTTGGGACCGAGTCAAGGTGAGCAGGCCATAATACGAAACATAGCGGCAGTTGGACGAAAAGCGGTTCTTGTATGTTCGGCAGTCGTTTCATGAAGAATTGGACCTTGCGCTTGCTTTAGCATGCTCTAGCGATCCGCTGCTTCGTTGAAGATCGTTGAGGATAGTTTGTTGCATGTGAATTCACACGGTCTTACTATTTTTCCAGAGCGCATCGGCCCCAAAGACACTTCCCCAGGAGCTCGACGAGACGCTTCAATACCTGGCGAAAGGTTGGACGAAGTGCTTCTGAGATGGAAAATGGAACTGCCAAATTGACGCATGTGCCGCATGTGTGTATAAATTGTGCTCGTCAATGGTTCCTTTATGATCCCTTCATATCCCGGATGCTTTTGGAGTAGCGAGGAGTCTAACCCTGCCCTGCGGCAGGCGGTCTGAAGGCCTTCAGAGGGCGCCGATGCGTTGAGATCTACACCGTGGCCGCAGGACCCAGATGGACCCACTGGGCTTTGCGGGGGCGAAAATGGCCACGCCGTGGTTTGAGGAGAAGACCATCGTGTGATGTAATTGTTTGAAGCAAGCCAGGAGCGATGCCCTTTGTTCCTAGTAGCGTCCGATCGCTCCGTTCGTAGTAGGGCCAGGAGCCCCGGCCCTCGTAGCGTATTGGAATGCCATTCCGAATTCCTGGGGAGGGTAGGTCCCAAACGAACGGACACAAATCCCTCGGATCATCCTCGAGTAGAACAACTGCAAACCAGTGCTACCACACGCCTCGGATCTCGCTTCCCAGGTATCAATGGTCGCACCTTGTCATGCAGAAGCCTTCAACATCAGTTTTACTTCTTGTTTGTCTCAATTGAGTTGGGGCCCACCCCCCACGCACATGTGGGAGAAGGACAGGGTAGATGAAGCCAATTTGTTTGATGTTTGGGAGTGCCTTCCCAATTTGACGATGATTGTTGCTGTCATGTATTCATCATCTTCAGGCTAGTTTGCGCTTGGTTTGCCTTCTAGATCGCCCATTCAATTGCTTCACCTTTTTTTTGCTAGACTTTAAGTCTTTGATTTTGAGCCAAGCAGCTGTTGGTTTTGACACCTTTGGCCGGGTTATGGACTTGCAAAACCAAGTCCATGGGCCTCCTTGCGATCTCCTTGTTCGTGGCGGGTTTCTACAAAGAGTACATCGTTCACGAGGACTGCCAACTGTGCTCAGTGCTTTACTCCCGCGCCTGGTTCATGCCGGGCCTTTCTCAAGTTTGCAAGCATCACACCACCTGCTTATCTTAAGGAATAGTGGAAGCATGAAGTTGCTTCGCATCACTGAAGGACTCTTCCAATCTCATTTTGAGCAACTTGCACCATTTTGAGCAAGTTGCTTTAGCATGATGGAGACATCGTGGAGCATTTCGCATTCGTCATGCTCGAACGCTTCACCAACGAGGACTTATCGAGGGCCCCTCCAAAACACGTCCGCGTGAAGGCCGAAGAGTTCGCAAAGCAAAGCGAAAACCATTTGGCCCGCCTGACTCGTCGTACTCATTCCCTCTAGCTGGAAGGGCTGTGAGGGGCAGGATCGTGACCACCAGTTGTGTGTGGGTTCCTCTAGCTGGAAGGGCTGTGAGGGGCAGGATCGTGACCGTTGTGTGTTGGTGGAGCCAAGAGTTTTTGGCTAAGCAATGCTAAGAAAAAAGAAGCTGTCCTTTGCTCTAATGCCGTCCCTTGATCTTGTGTGTTGCTTCTCATGTCACGGAGTCCCTTACGAACATGAAAAGATCCCTCAGGGGCCTATTTATTTTGAACATGTCAATTCACACCCAGTGTGCAGTGCAATAGAGTTCATGTGCAATAGTCGGAAAACATCTATAGAAGAAAACATGAGTTGCGCTTTTGCAGGCCAAACACATCTTCATCAATACGAAGGTGGGTGACCTCAACGGAGTCTGTTTGCACTGAACATCGACGATGATCACCGTGCCGCAAAAATGAGTAGAGGAGAGGAGAGACTTTTTGGAGCAGCAGGTTAGGGGCACTCGGTTTGGAACCCCATCCATCTTCGAATCTGTTTTCGTCGGCGACCTTCGGCATCCTCCAATTCTCCAAGCTTATGCAAGCGAGCGTGATACACCGCAGGAGTCACACGAGTCAAATGCCGAAGCTAAGGATGTTTGGATGAACAGTGCCATTGCCTGGGTGATCATCGCAACTACTTGGTTTCTGTCGCTCGTCTGGGCTGACATTTGGTCGCAGCTTCTACTTAAGAACCAAGATGGCCAAAACTCCCTCTACATGGTTTTTTGATGTTTTTTGATATACAGGGCCTAACTGTAGCCCATCAAAACACGGACACGTCGAAGCGACACGCCGTTTCGTCCTTCGATCCGCGAAACGGCCCGATGGCGTTTGAGCGGCGACGGAACGAGGCTTCGAGCCCTCTATTGCAAGAAGATGCATGGCGGCACCTACCAGAACAATCGTGGCCTCAGAGTCGGGGTCCTCAAACCGTGGTGTGAATTGGGCAAGGTCGAAAACATGCGAAAACCGTGTAACGGATCCTTCTTTTCGACCACCTTGGTACCAATAGCCTCCTGCAAGTATATAGATTTGCCGCGACCTATCTTGACCTTCAATTGCAGGAGGATGCAGAAGCAAAGAATCTCAGTAGATCCTGCTTTGCCATTCCTCTTTGACACTAAGTTGAACCTTCGACTGGCTTTGGTCACGGTTTGCATTGGCCGGGATGCCAAGACTTGCTCAGCCCTGTCGAGTTCTTATCCTGAATTCTGAAAGGACTCTCCTGTTTCTTGAAGCAACTTTGACAAATGACCCCCCTTGCTGGCCAAGGCCTCCAAGGTGGACCCTCCACAACACCACTACAATACACCATAGAGTCATAGAGTAGACCGTGCCCAAACCGGCCCAGAACCCAGTAGAAAGCCAGCAGCCGGCATGCCCAGTCCATTTCAACCCAAAAGCACTCCTTGGACAGCCCCATCCGAGCAGTGTCCAACGTTGCCTCTCTCTCCACCCAGGAGGGGCATGTTTCTCCACCATTAGTGGGTCAGCCGGATATACGTCGTACGAAGTGAATAGATCGTAAAGGTAGCTTGAGCTACCTGAGTTCTCCTTGCTTTAGCAAAAATGTATTACAATCAGGAGTTGGGATTGTGCATTGAATTTGGTCCTGTAAGAGTTGATTCTGTTCGTCGGGGGGGGGGGCCCCCCCCCCGCCTGGATCAAATCCCCCCTGCGCCGGTTCACGCCGTCGTGGACTTCTACCAGGGTTACTTGTGATTGCCTGCTACCTTTCGTTCACCCCCTCCTCTCTCAAGTGAATAGATCGTACCAGGTTGCTTCGCCAGTGCACAAAAGGTCGTCAGGATTCGCCAGGTGTGCGTCGCTCGCTTCGTCGGGTGGTGTGCCACGAAGGGTCGAAACTAGAAACTACGACCCTGGCTCCGCTGGGCAAGGGTGATCACGGGTGCGTTGAGGGTGTTCTTTACTGCCGACATGGGTGCGTGTCCTGGTTAAACGGCGAAAACATTGTCGCAGGTGACATGTGTGGACTTGTGTGTGATGGTGGAGCTTGACTACGCTTGGGCTTGGTATGGCTTGGTGTATTTGCGCTGACATGTTTGTCCATTCGTTGTGCATGCGCGTGATTCCATCACCTGCACCGTGCCATACATGTTCCTGCATCCATGTGTCCGACTCACCTACACAGATTTCAGATGGTAGCATAGATGTCCAACACCTAACAGCCTGCATGGCAAAATTCCCGTTTACGGCAGATCCGACCGTGAAGTGAAGCCAGAAGAAAGGGTACCAAAAAAAATGGTGCATCATGGATCATCATAGCTCATGCTTTTTGCCCTGGTTTTTTTCCCTTTGGTAGTTGGTGCCTTTTTTCCTGGGCTTTTCTCTGGAGGTTTGCAAAAGTTGTGAACTGCCCAGGTCCTGTCGTTGTTCAACTGTGGTTTCTCATTTGTGAAATCTGTTGTTGAACTCCAGTAATTGCCCTTCGTATTTGCGGTGAGGTTTAGGAGCTTTAGGGCTGATGACTGATGATTGTAGATGGTCAACAAATGCTTCTTGTTCGGTCTTTGCCATTTTGGTGAGGCGATGGTGCCAGCCCTTGATCAGACACTTTTTCTGGGGAGTTTTTAGACAACTCCGGCGACTTGCACAAGAAAGTAGAAAGACTGCTGATACAGGACCGGACACTTAAACAAACAGGAAACTCCGACCTGACACATGTTTCATCATTTTCACATGCCCTGCATTCGCTGTGACCTGAAGGTCCATGCAGGAACATGAACCGCCTCATGGTCAATGGTTCGTACTTCGTCATTCGTAGCTACATCAATTGTAACAGAAGGCAAAAGTCGTTCTTGCCAGTAGGGTGATACAAATTGAAGCCTGCTTTCACAGTTTCGTAGTTGTGGTATGTTGTGGTATGTTCAAAGATGCTCAAAGCATTGCAATTTTAGTTGTTTCGTGGTACCTTAGTAACTTGCAAGTCAGTCTGGGTGCTTGCAACCAGCCCAGTCATCGCTTTTGAGCGACATGATGAGCTTGATCAAATTTGATCCGATTTGCCGAAATGAGAAAACTGATCAAACCTTTGGCTTGAACACAGCTTTCGCATTCTTTGGGTTTTCGTAGCTTTTCAATTCGCCCGTTTTCTTGCTTTTCATACCGGAGATCCAGGCTTTTGCTGGTGTTTGAGGTTTCCGCGTTTTCGTGGTTTTCCCGTTTTCGCGCCGGATTCCTGAACATTGCTTGCTGTAAGTGGATGGCACGAAAGACCATTGCACAGGATCGTTCAATGAACTGGCTCGTTTGTCAGTGGTATGGTCTAATGAGTCTAATTGATGTTCTTGGTCATCGAAGTCAGAAAAGGAGAAGGAGATGGATTATACAAGTCTGGGAGTTGCAAGAGTGCATGAAGATTATCAAGAATAGTACGTACTGGGAAGAGTCGTCGGAGCAGCAGAGGAGTGGTGTGAAGGGCAAAAGCCCATAGTTGGGGTACAGTAGCGATTGCAGTGGCAATACTGTAGCACTAGTATCCCATTGGCCCCGATTACTAGCGATTATTAGGGGCCACAACCGTTGGTGAGCGGTTGCAGTATCCATTGGCTTCTCCACAACCGTTGGGAGTCGCGCGTTTGTCTCGTTTGACGGTTCGGTTCGTCTCGCTTGATGCGTCCGTCTCGCTGTTTTTTCAGGCCTTTCGGGAGTGAAACATTTGTTCAGCCTTTCTGCCGGGGATTTAGCGATGGACATCGTAGAAGGGGAGCTAAGCAAGATGACCGGATTCAACAGAAAGCACAGATGTAGCGGTCAATTTGCAGTGTTCACTTGGGTTACAGGGTGTTCTTCTGCAAGATCAAACACCACAGTGCAGCTTCGAAGCTGAGGTGTGAAAGTTTTCATAATCATCGCGCTGACATGGGTTTTCAAGCCTTACATTGGATGTACTTTGGACGCATTTGATCTTTTGTTGATCCAAGCGCACGTGCCAAGAGTTCACAGCGTAAGTTGCTGTGAGAAAATCGGTTTATTACAATATATTTACCAGGCTACCGCCTGCAGCCGCCGACCCCCAAGGGATAGAACCTTAGCGCTAGCCTTGCTCTATGTTAGCCTTAGCCTTAAGCCTTAGCCTTAGCCTTAAGAGTGCAGACCCAACCCAGCACCACCAAAGCAGGTACCCAAAAAGTCGACTTTTTGGGTACCTCCCAGATTTACCATCGGACGTCAGCTCTTGCATGAACCCCGATCATTGCCCAAGAATTTAGACCCAACCCTTCACCACCAAAGCAGGTACCCAAAAAGTCGACTTTTTGGGTACCTCCCAGGTTTACCAATTTAGACCCAACCCAGCACCACCAAAGCAGGTACCCAAAAAGACAAAGCCTAGAGCATTCCTACGAAAATGCCAGAAAAGCCTTTGAAAATCTCATAAACCAACAGAAAACGTGACAAAATCTACGAAAAAGCAAGGGCATTGGCCGGGACCATGCCGCGACCGGCCCGGGATTCGAGCCCAGGACCATTTTGGACCGTGCTTATTTTCCCGCGCGGGTCGAGAGGGTGCCCCAAGATGTAAATCAATTGGGATGGCAGATTCTTGGACAATCCAGGTCGCTTTCCCGGCAGGATTTCGTCACTGCAACAAGGGTCCGGAGGGGTAGGGGAGGTAAGGTCTAGGTCTAGGTCTAGGTCTAAGGCTAAGGACTAGGTCTAAGGTTTAAGGCTAAGGCTTAAGGCTAAGGCTAACATCGACAGTCACGCCTCACCCCACGGTGTGGGGTCGGCGGATTACATCTATAACTAACATTAACTATCTATACAATTAACATCGATTAACTATATACAGTATCATTATATACCTGTATGTGTTGCAGAGATGTCGCTTCGCATGTTCTTTGCAAGTCCGTTGAACCTGTGCAATAACTAACTGCAATGCTGAAATGATTAGAACGTGCATGTTCTCTTCTTCTTTCAAGCCATAAAGGCGCTTGTATGGGTACAGTTCGTTTGCATTAGATGAGTGTGTAGATTGATTGGTGTGATTTTTGTGTCAAGGTTGGATCTACGGGATCGTCATCCTCTACTGTATCGTCGTCGCCGTGCGAGCCTCGGAAACCGTGCGAGCCTCGAACCTGCAGCTCACGGACTGTGGAACCCCCCACGCCATGGCGGCAGGTTTAGTTCTCGATGTGTTCCCTTTGTTGGACGGTTCAGTCATCTTTGTGAGTGATCAAGGTAAATGCAGGCAGACTTAAATTAATCTACACATATCTTTCATGGGTCAAGGGTGAATTGAATGAATGCATCGTCCATCTCAATTCTTCAAAGTTGAAGCCTGTTTGTCGGCAATAAGTCATAGGAGGAGTCAGCCATAGTCAGGACTGGAGGCAAAAGCCAACAACAAAAATCAACAAAAACTTGATTCGTTGATTCATTGTTTGGCACTGCACATCTTCCACCGTGCAGGTGATCTGAATCGTCCGCGATGTTCGATTCATGTGGATCCTGTTCTTTAGATTGAATTCGATTGGAGAGAGAGCTCTTAACTGGGTTGGCTGGCGGGATATTAGTGGAGGGGTTCCACAGTCCTTGATAGATCTTGATAGTTTGGTTAGCCCGGCCT